AAATACTAATATTAATTTAATTTTTATACATAACATTTAAGTTGCTAATATTGTTAATACAACAAAAATTCACATAACATTCAAGGTTTCTACAATGCTACTCTAGAACATGATGAATTACTAATGAACACTTTAATATCAAATCAATCGATGTTAAAGTCTTACATCCAACATTACTTGAAATTGTATTATCAATTTTATTTATAATACATGTAAATTTTATACTTTATGTACTATTCCACATTTTTCTAAATTAACAATAGTCATAATGTTGAACATTAATAAACTAAATTTCTAACAAATTTGCAAATAAATATGTATCCTAGATTTACATGTTGTTCCATTTTTTGAAATATTAAAATTTTAATTCATAACATTTTAAAAAAGCAATGCATATGTTTGAGCTATGCATGTAAATAAACAAGGCATAAGTAATACTTTTTATATAACTTAACAATCGTTTTGGTTTATTAAATTTGGAAATTAAAATTAGAATTTGTGTACACATAAAATGCATTTAAAGAAAAGGTACTCCGCCTTAAAACTGTAGAAATCAACTGCAAAATTTAATATAATACGAAAATGTGCTTTAATTAAAGTGGTATGTAATATGTCGAAATACACTGCTAAATTTTAAGCAAATAATTGCCTAACACCAATTTATATTAGATATAACTAAATGAAAATGACAAATAGAAAGAAAATTTTATATTTAGTTTACTGCCTATACATATATATATATCAATTTTTACTAAAATAGCAGTGTTCATGAAAAACACGACAATTATTTATGACACTCTTACATACCAATGCAATTAATACATTTGCTACAAACATATACATATTTAACATCTATTATAAAAATGAGAAAAGAAAGAATATCTTTCCTTCCATATGTAATCAAGGCTAAAAAGATAAGGAAGTCATTGCTTTTTAACTATGTAGTACTTTATAACAAAATCTTGTACAACTGATCAGATGGTATAGCATCCTTATTACAATAAAAGCAATATCTTCACTTATTAAAGCTTAGTTTACGTTACGATATTATTTTTGTTGTATCTTTAATTTCAAACATTGTGTATAACTTATTCCAAAATTAATTGACATCTACAGAGAATACAAATTTATCATGTAGCTAAACCTTTCAGACAATTTGCTAATTTTTGTGTTTTGTAATCAGTTCTTAATTGTATAAAATTCACCAGGACACTGCGATCTAATGTTGCCTGTAATAATAAATGAACAATTATTTTAATTTTAATTAAATCAAAAAACTTAAGAATTGCAATTATATTTAAATCACCATAACGTACCAATTGATCTCCTGTACAAACTTGTTTCAAATTTTCTGGTTTAACTAGCAATAAATTACATAAAGCATGTAAAGTATCAAACAAAGAAATAACAAGATCAACTTCAAGTTCCTTGACACATTTACGGTATTCGTTCATATCACATATTGCACACATTGCACCAGCAGAATTAAATTGAAATTGCTGTAGGTGATCATAAATAACTTTGTGAAATCGTACCCCTATTTCAGTTAGGACGTTATTTAAATTCTTTCCATCCAAAGTATTTCGAATATGTCGAATCATTCCAGTAACATATTGAACTACTGTTAAACAGGCTGGAGTGCTCAAAGTATCCACATCAGTTTCAGGTTTAAAGTCAGTCTTTCGTTGTTCATTTTGTAGGTACACTTTTACCCAACCAATAATAGCATTTATACTTCTATCTAATCCTGTTTCCAGTTTCATTTCAATTTGATCTAATACGACTTTTTTCTTTAACATACAATCTCCATGCTTTGGTGTTGATCTAAAGAAACAGTATTTTAAATGTGCTTTCATAATTGAAGTAAACATTATAAAATGAATAAAATAAATCTTACACAACAAGTGGTATGACACTGTCATTAAATTGTTCTTCTAATAAGCGTACAATTGCGTTACATTGACGCACAACATTGAAAAAGTGTATCTCAGGTTGAGTTCTGCTTTCAGGAATTGGTACACTTTGTAAACCTAATTCCAATGCATAATCAACATGTTCACTTATTAAATATTGTAATAATATTTCCAAAATTTGAAGAGTATTTATCGGTACTTCATCAGGTTTCGATAATAACTGACATCTCTGAAAACCTACTTTACTTCTTTGTAACAGAGCAATCGCAAGTTCTTCTGACAAAAAAGTTTCTCCACCATAATTTTCTATCTGAGCAATATTAATATTAGTTCTTGCTCCAAGAACTGCTTGTAAATCCCTTCTTAATTCTTGGAAACCTCCAGTTTGTAACTGTTTTTTCTGATGATTTTTAGATTCATAATATTCAATAAGGAGAATATATATTAATTATTATATGAACTTACGTAATATAAGTATCCAGATATTTTTGAAATATATTTCTAGTCAACTTTGTAAGGTATGTATCATCAGTACCCATATTAAACATTTTTAGTTCTGTAGACAATTTCACAGTCCGTGTATATAAATCATATAAATTTCTAAGATACTTATCAGGATCAGTTTTATCTGCCAATTTAGCAACTGCATATTTTTGAAGTCTTAAATGATAAATATTTAATACAAATTTTGCCATGACTTGTTCAGGATTTGTAAATACTTGTTGCATTAATTTATGGTACTTTGTACACATAGGTATTACATCTTGAAAAACATCTTTTCCTCCAAATGAACCCATTTGGCTTTGTTCTATAAATGCATCAATGCACTGAGAATATCCTTTAAAATGAGCTAAAACTGATGCTAATTCTTTCATACGATTAGCATCTTCTCTATTGTGTGCCCTAACAAATTCTTCTATAAGATTTCTTTCAATTTCATCATACTTAACAGCAATCTTTTTTTTAGCATGTTCAAATTTCTCAGATGGCAATTCTTGTGAAATAAGATGAAGTTTTTGTATTACATCTGCTGCTTCATCTAGCTGTTGCAAAATAAAGAATCTTAAGTTTTATAATTGTTAGTGCATTATATAATCACAAATATCAGATATATAAAACAGGAGTTTGTACCGATGACTTGTCTGTGAAAATTGGGTCTGTCAAAGGTCCAGGACTTAAGAAATCTGAGAAATGTCTCATTAATTTTTGAGCCTCAACAGCTCTAGCTCTTGGTGTGTTAACACTTTCTAACTGATCACCTAGATGTAAAACCTTAGTAGCCACAAAATTGATTCTTTCATCTAGTTGATGAAACAAATCAATAGAGTGTTTATTTCTTTCCTGTAATTCAAGGATTTCAAGCATGTGCCTTGCTTCTTCATCTTTCAATGCTGCTTCAAGTTTATCACATTTTTTTTGTTGACGTTCTTGTAGAATTTGCAAATCTTTAATTGCTTGTAAAAACGTCTCATGCACTATTGTAGGATCAAAAAACGTTTTTCCACCGTCTTTTGTTGTATCATTAACTGTTCTCCAAGCAAGTCTTTCAACAAATTCTTCAGGATCAAATGGATCCTAGAAAAATATTGTTAAACAGATATTTTTTATTAATATTTTACACACTGTTATTCCAGTTTAAATGTATTACTTTAATATTTAACATTTACCTGTTCCAATTCTTTCATGTATTGTTGCATCATTTTGACGAACTTTGAATGACAGTTATGTGAAAGTAAGGTTATAATTTTATCGTAAAATGCACATATTAATATTGTCAATAAAAAATAATACAGAAATAAATAAATTTCAATAAAAGATTGTTATTAATCATTTATTAAAAAATATAAGTTCTGTAAAAAGGTTTTCATTCCTGAATCGTTTGACAGTTTGCATACTCCCTTCTCTTCTATCTAACTATACTAAAAACGTACCTGTACCAAATTAAATAGTTTCAAATATATCAAATACTGTTTCATGTTATATAGTTAACGGCATTATTATTACTTATTAGTATATATAATAAAAATTAGTAAATAATTTACAACTTACACGTGATTTTTATTTTCTGTAATTATACACTTGTTACATACAGTCCTCGTTATTAAGTTTCATACATTCTTATTAGTTAATTCATGTAATAAACTAGTATTATTACAATAAAAGAACCCCATGTAGTTTCGAAATACTCTTATCAAGTTTTCATAAAATTTTTTTAATAACAATACAAAAGCGCGATTAATTGCAATTGTAGTATGAGTTTTGTACAAAATGTCTTTTTTAAATAAAAATTAGAATAATATGTGGTATACAAAGTCTTTTTGGTATTATTATTGCATAGTACAAAGTTTTATTAAAATAACCTGACGTATTAGATTTTTTCACGCGTTTTCATTTAGAAAAGCAAAAACAATTGAAATAACGAGTGTCTAATACAAAACAATATAAACTAGGTTTTTTAAACTGTAAGCAACCGATATAAAAGTAAACGAGTACTTTTAACTAAAAATTTAATCTTATAAATTTCTATGAAACAAATAGCTTTATGAATATAGGCTTCTTTTTCTAGAAACGAAGCAGAAAATATTAAAATATCAAGCGCTTGAACATTTTATAAACCATATGACATATTTATAGTAGGTGAACAATTTTACGAATTTCATACGTAGCACAAGTTTAAAAAACTTCTGTAACTTTTATAGAAGTTACCAATTGGAACATGTGTATTTAATTATTCTTGTACACATACAGTGTGTCCGTTTTATTTGGAAACGTACGAATATCTCGCAGACCGTTGAAAATATGAAAAAATTGTTAGTATTAAAGTTATTTGATATGAAGAAGAACATTGTGTGGTGTCAATAGATTTTTTTTATATTAAATGGTAGATGACATTTCATGGTAAAATTATTACATCTTTATTCATAATATGATAGCGTCTGTTAAGACGAGTACAACGGTATGCTGCATAAGATCATTCAATGTAAAAGATCATAAAGACAGCACTCGAACAGTCAGTTTAACAGATACTGAATGGTCTAATGGGAGTCCGCAGCACGATCGACGATGCGATTGACGTTAATCTGACTCCTTAGGATCTCACTAATTTATGACCTTTTACTACATTTTTTAATGTACTCATGTTAACATATACTATCATATTATGAATAAAGATGTATGGTATCCCATTAAAAAAAATAGTTTGACCTTGAAATCTCCTCTGCTTGATAGAAAAAAAAATTATTTACACCACACAATATCCCCCTCCATATCAAACAACTTTCATAATAATAATGTTTTTATATCTTCAACGGTTTATGAGATACTCATGCGTTTCCAGATAAAACGGACACACTGTAGGAATTCTATTTCCATTTTCTGTATTAGTGTTGAAATATTTATTAATATATTGTTATTAAATTACACTAATGAGCACTGAAAAAGAGGGAGGCAGCGACGACGGCATGTTTCAGTACATTGTTAATCTAATTCTTGTCTTTCTCAAGATAGAGTTTGGAATAAAATATGGAAAAATGTTTGGGTAGTACAAAGGGTAAGAATGACTCCCTTCTAAGACAAAAAACATTCAATTATACATGTTACAATTACGCTAAAAAATAAGAGTGCTTATCTTTATAACCACGATACATAATATTATTTAATTTACTTTATAAACACGAATTGCCGTTAAACGCATCATTGCGTAAAATCAATGATCCTCGATGCTAATTCGACAAATTTTTCTATGGTCGATTTTTGCACTAGGTATTAGCAAGTGAATAATTATGTTCTCCTTTCTTGAAAAAAAAAAAAAAGATAGAACAAAATTTGTTTTATTCAACTCTGTGATAGAGTTGGTGGTCCATAATTGATAATGTTTCACACCTCATTTTTTTATTAATATAAACTGAAACTTCCATGATCTTTCTTGTTTCTTCTGGTAATGTTTTCAAGCAGTATAAAACTGCTACCATAAGATGTCCTTCTGTAATCAAAAGTCCACTAATACAATAGAAGTCATTTCTATTATACTTTTTATATATATAATAGCTAATCTTTATCAATAAGCATAAAAAGACTCACTTTGGTTACAGAAATGTAAAATTACATTTCTCAGCAGCACCCAGATTTAGCAGATTCAATTGGACGTCCATGTTCGATTTTCACTTTATTTGCTGGATCACTGTTGCCACTTGATGGAGGACCCACTCTAAGTTTTATTTCTGCTGCCATTGTCATAAAAGCCTGTTCTACATTCATTGCATTTTTTGCAGATGTTTCCAAGAATGGTATACCAAGCTGATCTGCATATTCCTATTTACAAAATTTGTAAGTATATTAGAATGTAATTTTAACATTAACACATTTATATAAAGTATGTTGCTTACCTTTGCCGTTGTGTAATCAACAACTTTTTTAGTGTGAAGATCACATTTATTGCCGACCAGCAGCTTATTCACATTGTCACAAGCATAACGATCAATTTCTTCCAGCCACTGTTTAACATTACTGAATGTTTCCTGATCTGTGCAGTCATAAACAACAATAATACCATGTGCACCTCTATAATAAGAACTTGTAATTGTTCTGAATCGTTCTTGACCCGCTGTATCCCAGATTTGCAATTTTATTGTTTTTCCATCTAAATCAATTGTTCGAATCTTAAAATCTACACCAATAGTACTGATATAACTTTCTGTGTATGTGTCATCAGCAAAACGGAGTAGAAGACATGATTTTCCAACTCCAGAATCTCCAATTAAAAGCAACTTAAACAAGTAATCACTGCAAAAAAATATATTAAATTATGTAGATAAATTATATTCAAATTAAATT